CCATCCTCTCCATGACCTGTTTTCCTTGTTACCTTCTGGGAGGAGTGGGCTTTGTGGTATCCGAAGCAGAACATCCTGATTCAGTCACAGTTTTGCTCCATACATTATTAACCTTGTGAACTCTAAAGCTTCCTCCTTCCATTATGTATATTCAAGAGGGACAGTGATTAATATTTATATGTTACTTATATGTAAGGATGTAGATCTATACATATGTTGTATATAGTATGTTTAAATGTGTGTATTGTATGTGTACACTTTGAGAGCGAGCAACTAAATTTCATTTTTAATGTGTGCCATTGTGCCCACAGTAAAAAATGACAATAAAGGTTATCTATCTCTCTATCTCTATTTATCTACCTACCTACCTACCTACCTACCCACCCACCTACCTACTTATTTATCTATCTATCTATCTATCTATCTATCTATCTATCTATCTATCTATCTATCTATCTATCTATCTATCTATCTATCTATCTATCTATCTATCTATCTATCTGTACTTTCCACTGCTATGCGGTCATTAACTATCACATGACTTTGGGGATGCTGCATAGGTCACTTTTTTCAGTGTAGTCATAACTTTGAACAATCACTGAGTGAATGGCCATAAATTGGGGACTACCTGAGCACAGTAGTTTTAAGAATTACAATATTTATATTGCTTTTGCAGCTCTACTCTCGCCCTCTCATTCTAGGAGATGGACCATCTTTCTGTCGTGATGCCTTCCCTTTGGATGGATTGCAGAACATCTATTTGTACTTCTCTTCCTTTTAGCATGTGCTGAAGCTTTGTGGTGAATCTGGGGGACTGACCATATTCTTCTCCATCTCCCTCCCATTCTTCTCTTTTGAGGAAAATCCAAAGCAACCTGGCAAACCCACATATCAACAAGACCTTCCTTATGACTGAATTTTCCCACTTCATTTGGAAGCAAAAGCATTGATCTCACTTTAAGAAGCTATCTAACCAAAACAATTGTTGCATCTTGTCCAGGACTACCATCATATAACACCCAAAGCTACTCCACTGATGTTGCCAGATGTTTCTTACTATTCTAGAACAGAAGAAGACCCTCTTCTTCTTCAAGTGTTGGGACAATAAGTCAACTCCTTGCTCTTGGCCATGCTGCAGAGAAGGGAACTGAGGTCCAAGATACTTGGAGATGAGGCTTGATGGTCTCTTCCTACGCTAAGACATCCTCCCACAACCTGGTGTTTGTTATATATGGTAGCCTACAATTACCATGTTCCTCAACGCATATAGCTATTTGTATATTCATCTCCTCCTACAAATTCTTGGTTGAGTCCCAGAAATTTCTGCATAAGCTTTTTGTACTCATTGCTAAGATAATCAGGAATAAAGTGACAAAAACATCATGAAGACCCCTAGCTATAAATTTTCAATGGGAACTATAGGCAAAACCTCATCTGTGCATGCAGAGTCATCTCATCAGTGGCTTCTTAATTTTTCTTTTTGCCTTTGATTAGGAAAAATTAAAGCATTAAACTCCAATCCAAGGAATAATGGTTTTACATCATAGATAAGAACGCAGAATAGCATCAAGAAGACTGTGGACGAAATGCAAACCTTTTAAGGTCCTGGAATGTACTTTGCTTAATACGGTAGTCTTTTTTTGCTCTCAATTAGACTGTAAAAAACCTAAAGTGTCGCACTCTGATAGATGTGAGTCAGCTCCACAGTATTTCAGCCAATTTCAGCTGCTAAATCAATCTACTTGTGAAATCAATGGATCCTGGAAAACATTAATGCCAGACAGAAAAATTGCTCCTGGAAGTTTTCTTGAAGTTGTCTCAAAGGGTAAAAAAAAAATTAGAACATGAGAGCAACTGCATTTTAAATGCTATTCTTTCAAATAAGTCCTCAACTTATAATAATTCATTTACTGACCATTCAAAGTTACAATGGCACTGAAAAAGTGAGTTATGACTGTTTTTCACACTTATGACTGTTATGGCATTCTCATGGTCACGTGATAAAAATTCAGATGCTGTGCAACTGGCACGTATTTATGCCAGGTGCTGTGTTCCAGGATCAAGTGATCCCATTTTTGACCTTGTGAGAAGCAAAATCAATGGGGAAGCCAGCTTCATTTAATAACAAGTGTTACTAATTTAACAACTGCAGTCATTCACTTAACAACTATGGCAAGAAAGGTCTTAAAATGGGGCAAAATTCACTTAACAAATGTCTTGGTTGGACTCGATAACCTCCAAGGTCCCTTCCAGCATTATTATTATTATTATTATTATTATTATTATTATTATTATTATTATTATTATTATTATTATTATTATTATTATTACTATTACTACTACTATTACTATTACTATTACTATTATTATTTCAAAATTTCAGGCCGAATTGCAGTCATAAGTCGAGGGCTATTTGTGTTCATTTTCATTTCAATACAATATCACAAAGAATCAGATCAAAGTCTCATCCAGGTTACTATAACATTCCCACAGAGATTAACCAGAGGTTAACCTGGAGAAAAACTGATTTGAAGAACAGCTTATATGTTTTAAAAATATATTAATAAGAAATGCCAGTTAGATAAATAAATGGCACCTGTTTTCATTCTCCCCCCCAAACCAAGGTCAAGAAACTTATACAGGTGAAGTTCCAAATTTGCATACAAAGTTAAACAAATTGTAGAGATGTAAAAGTTGTGAAGATGACTGCCCAATGCTTTGTTCTCTGCCAGAATCCAATTTAAAATATTCCCAGGAAATATCTGTTCAGTCTCTGCTTGTTTATCCAGACAAAGGAAACAAACCTTGATCTCTTGAGGCAATTGATTCTACCGCTGATCTTCTCTTAGTGTTAATTTGATTAATATTCATTTCCAATTTGATATAAGACTGGCAGCTAGAGCAATATTTTAAATAAAAATAAGCAAAGATAGTAACAGGGCTTTGGGTACAACCTCAAACTGAAGCACCACTAGAACACTATCAGCATAGACAATCACCATCAGTCAATGGCAAAAGGCAGCTTTACAAGGAACATCGGTCAACAACATCTGCCTATCCCAGAATCAATAACTGGATGAAAATGCCAAATCCAGTATAAACCTCTGGCTGACTATATGACAAACAATAGTAATAGTAATAATAATAACAACAAGAAGAAGAATGAGAAGGAGGAGGAGGAGGAGGAGGAGGAGGAGGAGGNAGAAGAAGAAGAAGAAGAAGAAGAAGAAGAAGAAGAAGAAGAAGAAGAAGAAGAAGAAGAAGAAGAAGAAGAAGAAGAAGAAGAAGAAGAAGAAGAAGAAGAAGAAGAAGAAGAAGAAGAAGAAAAAAGATGGTTTTCCCAACATTCCTAACATCTGAGGGCTCAGATTGTTGGGGGCAATAAGCTGACTCTGTATACCACTTAGAGAGGGCTGTAAAGCACTATGAAGCGGTATATAAGTCTAAGTGCTATTGCAATTCCACTGAAACCTGCTTTCCTGCAATTTAACAATATTATTTTATGTGCTACACATAGACAGGAGGGACAGACTTTGACTCCCTTCTTTATGACATCCCTTTAGATACTTGAAGAGTATGATCACCCCCATCCCTTCTCAAAAGTAAGTATGTCCAGGTCTTTCAATCTTTCATGATAGTAATTCACTTCCAGACTCCTGATAATCTTTTCTGTCTTCTTTGAACCTATCCCAGTTTGTCTGAATCCTTCTTACAGTATGGAACCTGGGATTACTCAAAGTGGGGTCTGAACAGACACATTCTGTTTTATTTCACCACACCTGCTAGAGGAAGGAACAAAAAAAACCTCACTGGATCAGAATTTACTGACATATGACACGTTTTCAGAAGGTCTGATTTCTCCACAACTCCAGTGTGCGATGAGATTGGGACCTAGTTTGCTTCTTCATTTCACCCGTGGCAGCTGACCTTTGTTTTTTTTCCTCTTACTTATCTTTTGCATGTCAAAAAATCTCCACTCTATCCCATTATGTGGTCTCAGCATGTCGTAAGAAGCTTTCCTGAGAAGACACTATTGAGCAACTGGTCAGTAGTTCATGAGATATTTGGAAGATTATTTGAGAAACTCATTATGGTGAGAAGGATAAATATAGTTCAGGATAACTGAAAGCCTCTGCTTGTTTTTGGCCTTTCTTAATGATACTTAATGAGCAGTTTTTTTTTAATTGGTTGGCTTTCCTGATGCTGGTGGAGCAAAGAGCTTATGAAATAAAGAACAATGGAAATGGAAAAAGATCTAGATGCATCTCTCTCTCTCTCTCTCTCTCTCTCTCTCTCTCTCTCTCTCTCTCTTGCTTTTAAATCACTCTTAACCCCTGGCGACTGCTTGAACTACTCTTACTCTCTGCAGTTTTCTTGGCAAGGTTTTTTGAAAGTAGTTTACCACTGCCTGCTTCCCAGGGCTGAGAGAGAAGGATTGGCCCAAGGTCACCCAAATAAATATTACTTATTTACTTTTAAACACATAGCCCATCTTTAATCTGGAATAACGGAATAACAGAATAACAGAGTTGGAAGGGATCTTGGAGGTCTTCTAGTCCGACCCCCTGCTCGGGGAGGAAACCCTACACCATTTCAGATAAATGGTTGTCCAATCTCTTCTTAAAAACCTCCAGTGATGGAGCACCCATATTTGGAGGCAGGCTATTCCACTGATTATTTGGAAACTGAGAATGGCACACATAGGCATTCTATTTGGTGGCTAGTGACTAGTGGAGAAGATGACACCCCACTTTTTTTCTCTGCACTAGTTGTTCCCTTCCTCTCCACCATGGTTAATTTTATTTTAATTGAATTTTAAATCTATGATCTTTATTTATTCTTTCAATGTTTTACAGTATATTTTAATTGAATGTCTGCAAGCTGCGCAGAGTCGCCTCTGGCGAGATGGGCAGCATACAAGTTTAATAAATAAGAATCAATAACACAACTTTCTTAGAGTTCATTGATTTGGTTTTCAAAGGGCATTTGAAGGTCCCTACCTTTCGCGAAGCATGTTTCTCAGATCCATCCATATCCCCATCCAGGAAAGGCATGGCAAAGGAACTGAGATCCTAAAACAAAGAAGTTTAGAAAATTTCATTAAAGATTGAAAAGCAAACACTACTTATAATTCACAAATATACTTAGATAAATATACTTAAATGCCCTGGTCATTTATTGGCTGGATTACTGCAACACCAACATCTTGAATTGGACCATGGCAACAATAATTAGAGTGCAACACACTCCACATGGGGGTAGTAGCATTGAAAAGTATTTGGAAGCTATTGTTGCCACGGTCCAATTCAAGGTGTTGGTCATTATCTTTAAAGCGCTTCATGGCATGGGTCCAGGATATCTGAGGAGCCATCTCATCCCAATAGGATTGGCTCTCCCCACTTGTTCCAGAGGAAGAGGCTTGCTGCAGGCCCTAAGCATCCAGGAATTTTGACTGGCAGGGTCTAGGAGAAGAGCCTTTTCCACCATGGACCCCACCCTGGAACATTCTGCTTCTGGAGTTGAAATCTGCCCTCACTCTTGTGGTCTTCTGAAAGGGCCTTAAAACCTGGCTTTGCTGGCTGATTTGGGGCCTTCACTAAAGGTGACTAACTGGGTAAAAAGAAGGCCTCACCTTGCCCAGTCCCTCGGTTTTTAGTTCCTGTTTAAACGTTTCTATTTTGAATTCTTTTTATAATTATCTTTTTATCATTTTGTAAGCTGCCCAGAGTTGCTTTAACAATGGGATAGATGGCATATTAGATAAGATAGATAGATGATAGATAGAAGAGAGAAAGAGACAGAAACAGACAGATGAGAGACAGAGTTAGAAACAGAGAGAGAGACGGAGAGACAGATAAACAGGTATAGGAATGCAGCTCAAATACAATGAAAGGGATCAGTATGTCCACCTTAAACCCAAGCAAGTGGAAGAAAGACAACTTCAGGGGATCCTTTCAGATCACAGGAGATACCTCCTCAAACGTTGTTGGTCTGGAACCAAACCAGTTTTGGCCTTCGTGGGAGCAGAAACATATGTGCTCCTTTTTTCAAGCAACATCCAAGCGGATGATCTAGTCTGCAATTCTTTTACAATATGAGGATTACGTTTCTCCCTCTTCTCTCGCAGACTCATGATCTTTAGAGGTCCTCAAGGTTTTACTTCCTCGTGAACAAAGGTTCTCTAAGAAAATTCAATCTACCACAGCTCTCTTCTTCCCAGAAAAGGAAGGACAACTGCACTGACAAGTCTTCTCCTACCTAGGCATCTTCTGAAATCAGTTAGAAATAGCAGTTGCTTCCTCATTCTTAATTCTCTTTCCAGAAGGTTCTAGACCATATGCATCAGAAAGACCATATTCAGGTTCTTCCTAAAGCAAAGAAATATCTAGACTTCGGTTTACAACCATTCATTTAGTGGCAGTTCGAAATTATAATGGCACTGAAAAAAAGGTGATTGATGACGGTTTGTCACACAACCATTGCAGCATCCCCGTGGTCATGTGATTAATATTCAGATGCTTGGCAACTGCATGTATTTATGATGGTTGCAGTGTCCTGGTGTCATATGATCACCTTCTATGACCAACTGACAGGCACATGGGGAAGTCAGATTCACTTAACAACCATGTTACTAACTTAACAACTGCAATGATTCACTCAACTGGGCAAGAAAAATCATAAAATGAGGCAAAACTCACTTAACAACTGTCTTGCTTAGCAATGGAAATTTGGGCTCAATTGTGGTAGTAAGTCTATAGGTACTATTCCTACATGCACACCTGCAATGACTCTAGGATTTATTTCAGACGGTGTCAGTGCTAAGCTTTTGAATCTAACTGGAGACACAAATAATCTCAGGAAGAAGAATCAGCATGACTGCCTTTTCAAATTGAACTAAAAAGACATGGTATTGGAGTGCCACTGCTTAATTTATTTGCAGGAACCCATCATCTTGTTAAATGAATTAATCATACTTAATAAAGAAAATTGAGGTGATGGAAAAGGGAAACAGAGGGATCCTTATGCTAACAATCAAGCATCTTTAAACAATATAAGAAAAAATATATCTAATGAGACAAAGATCCCCATGTTACCCTCATTCATTCTTTTTTAATCCCATCTTAATTATTTTTTATAAATAACTCAAGAGGGAGGTGAGCATCTCTAATAATCCTTTCTCCTCTTATTTTTCACACAACTACCCCATGACAGAGGCTGGTCTGAGAGAGACTGACTAATCTAAAAGTCACCCAGCTGGCTTTCATTCCTGAGACACAATTTGAACCCACTGTCTCCTGGTGATTATCCAGCCAGTTTGGGTGCTTAAGACAGGACTAGAATTCACCACCTCCTGACTTCTAGCCTGATGACTTAACCACTAGACCAGGGGTAGGCAACCTTGGCTCTTTTATGACTCGTGGACTTCAATTCCCAGAATTCCTGAGCCAGCCATGCTGAGGGGAAAGGGAGAGTTTCCAAGCTGAGCCATGCTGGCTCAGGAATTCTGGGAGTTGAAGTCCACCAGTCATAAAAGAGCCAAGGTTGCCTACTCCTGCACTAGACCAAATTGGCTCTCTAATTTTTTACTTCAAGAATATAAATATCAGTTAACTTCCTGCTGTTACTAGATGCTACATTAAGTTTTTCACTTTTTAACTAAACATTTTCTGCTTTACATTTTCTAAATTTTTAGTAGCACAGAGGATAAAGATGTCAGTTTGCACTGAATTCAAATGATTCTTGAGGTTTAATCTGTGCCTGGTCCCAATACGTCATTTGCTTGTCCTCTTCATTGCCCAGCCTCTTACGGCAAAATCTCATTCTGGGATTAAAGACCTTCAGACAATGGCCCCCTGAGCTACTGAATGAAAGCTAAACACAAAATTAAGGATAGACGTTTAAATTTAAAAACAGAAGTTGGGGGAACTGCCAGTCCATTGTTCTTTTCCTATCATTCCCCACAAGATGAAGCCTTGTTCTCCATGGACATAAAGATCTGAATCTCATTCCTTTTTTGAGTAGCAGCTTGCTTATTTGTTTGTTTGCTTGTATTCCACCTTTATTATTTATATAAATAAGGCAGTGGACATTTCTAACATACCATCCTCTCCTATTTTCCTCACAACAACAAGCCTGTCAGTTGGGCCAAGAGAAAGTTGTAGGAAGAATCCAGAGAAAGAAATGTTTTGGGGAATATTAAAAAGGCAGAATATATTTCTCCAAAGGAATAATGGAGAAGATCTTTTAAAAAGGCAGAAACTTCTCCCTCCTCACAGCCAGAAAACTCAGCAGAAACCAGCTTTTAGAAATGCAGATGTAATAATCCATTCAGGAAGGTTGGAGCCAGGAAGCTGATGAGATTAAGAAGACCAAGACTCTTAAAATCTACCCAAACTCTAAAGACATAATAGGATTAACCCACCAATACCAAAAGGACACATTCAGACTCAGGTCAAACTTGACACAGGAAATACAAAGCCTCAAACAGGAACAGGAACCAACCTCAAGAGCCCCCGAAGGTATAAAAACCCACCACTCCCTACTTCAGGGGTCTTCAAACTTGGCCCTTGTATGACTTGTGGATTTCAACTCCCAGAATTCCTCAGCCAGCGTACCTGGCTGAGGAATTCTGGGACTTGAAGGCCACAAGTCATAAAAGGGCCAAGTTTTAAGAGCCCGGCCCTACTACATGTGGTCAGCTTTTCCAGAGCCACACTTCTATGACTTTGCTCTTCAATAAACTACAACCTTCTTTCTAAAGCAGTCTCCATTTTGTTTACTCCTAGCTTGGACTGGACCCTGATGAAGTTTTTCTTTCAACAAAGTGATTGGCCCAAAGTCATCCAGCTGGCTTTCAGGGCTAAGGTAGGCCTTGAATTTACAGTCTCCCGCATTCTAGCCTGGAACCTTAACTAGTAGACCAAACTGCCTCGCTTATAGCCACAACTGCCAACAAGTTCTTTCGGTAATCATCAAAAGTGGATTTAAATTGTACTCCACTCAATGAAGGATGCTCCAAAAAAAATGGAAAGAAGCTATCAAAAATAAAAATCATAACCAGAAAGACCTATTGGTGCTTTAAAAAGGGCAACTTCACAGCAAAAATTAGCATTTTCCACTTCTTTTTACTGCCATCTAGTGGCTGCCTAACTGTCTTTTAGAAGAACAGATACTGATGCTGAAGCTCAAATACTTTGGCCATCAAATGAGGACACATTTGAAAAGATCCTGAGGTTGGGAAAGATGGAAGGCAAAAGGAGATGGGACGACAGAGCATGAGATGGTTAGAGTCACTGACGCAATGAATAATGAATTTGGGCAAACTCCAGGAGACAGTGGAGGACAGAGGAGCTTGTCAAGATGTAGCCCATGGGATCATGCAGACTTTGACACGACTTAGCGACTTAACAACAACGAAAGTGGCTGCTTGAATTTTTGCAATCCAAATATATTAAGGCCAGTGCTGAAATCCCTGAATCACAAACAGAGTGTCAGAGAGAGAGAGAGAGACCCATTTAATTTAATCAGCTTCCGCAGGCATTCCAGGCTCCAAATGCAAATATTTAACAACAGTCAAATGATAACAAATAACATTTGAGGGATGTAATTAAAAATCGTCTATGAAAGGAAAGGATTGAAAAGCAGCCTAGATTAGAAGAACAGCCAGTTAGGCCCTGTGGGGTTCAAACCAACAGACATAATCTCTTGCTCCAAACCAATTCTGAGCCTGTTTCCTCATCCTTGGCCAATATGAAGATACACAAAAGTAATTTTACAGGACTTTTAATCAGAGAGCTTCTAATGAAGCTACAGTAGGCAGATCATCAGATGCCTTTATAACTTCATTGATTTATGTCTGCATAACACACTGAACTTGATTAACTACAGATAGTCCTCAACTTACAGCCACTCGCTTAGTGACTGTTCAAAATTACAGCAACATTGAAGAAAGTGACTTAGGATCATTTTTCACACTTACAACCATTGCAGCATCCCCAAGACCACATGAACAAAATTCAGACCCTTGGCAACTGGGTATTTAGGAAACTTGCAATGTTCATCTTTTACGAGT